CTTTAGTTCACCCTCCAGATCTTCCCAGAGAGGGAAAGGGGTATCAGAAAACAGGTATCTGCATTCTCTCCACCTCCCTAGAGGACCAGAGATTCTTCTCTGCCCTCCATCCTCTCTATTTCTGAGTTGGCAAGTACTGCTCCCTAACTAGGCTAGGGTCAGCAAGGGCTATCCCACCTGAAGGGCATAGAACTGGAAATGCTACAATAAAAGGAAATTCTTACATTTGAAGGATAAACCCATTTATCAATGGCAAAACACTTTCAGAAACAGCACTTCATTTGAATCTCTCATACTAGTTAGTTGATATCACCTTCCCTCCTTCTTTTTTAAACAGATGAGTAAACTGAGATTCACAAAAGAGAAACGATTCTCTAAGGTCACAGAGGTAATACTTGCAGCCAGGCCCCTGAGCCCAAATTCTGTGCTCTTTACTCTCCAGCATGTACACTCAGGAATCTTGATTTACATAAGGATGCCAGATAGAGACAGCAAAGTTTGATAGTCATTCCCTATGGTCATCCTAACAGATTAGGGAGACTTAACCAAATAGTTTTGATTTCATTTTATAATCTCATATGAATCTATCCTCCAACAATATAAATCTCTTATAATATTTGCTTTTAGTCTTAGCAAACTTTGAGTAGTAAGTTCTATATGTTTATTCTTCTTCCATTAAAAAGTGCTACTTTTACTTTGCCCTAAAATATTTCTTTAAAATGTTAAAGTTGTCCTTAGTTCTTACGCTGTGGGATTTAATAAGTTCATATTTTTATCCTAGGTTTTCATTATCCTATAAATCTCAATCATATTCCCCTCTCAGCCTGTGTCGTTCTTTCCAGAATGAAGAATGCTAATCCTTTTATCATCACTCACAAAGAATGTTCTCTACCCTCTTGATCAACTTACATGTCCTTCTCTAGACCTTGTCTGGCTCTGTAATTCTTTGAGGACATCAGATCACTGGGCTCCCATCACTCTGTCTAATCTTCTGTATAAAAGAGCACAATGGCTTTAGCTAAAATGTAAAAATATTTGAGAGACCATTTTAAAAATCAAACAATTCTTTTGCTCCATGTCAGCCCAGCTTATGCTGAAAAAATATACATTTTTTGCTCCAATAAAATGAAATGAACTCTGAAATGAATTTAAATACACTGGTAAAAGGCAACCTTATAACCTATTATGAAAATAACTTGCAAAGCACTTTTACATACATTATCTCATTTGACCCTCACATGAACCATGCAAGGTAGAGAAAACATGTGATCCTTATTTTTCACATGAAAAAAGTAAAAAGGTGACTAGACCAAGATCAAAGAGCTAGAATTAGAGCTAGAAGGCCCAGTCCCTGCCCTTCATCAAGAAAATAGTGCTTTTGCAGCTCTGCACTGCATCCTTCCTTATATTCACTTGCCACTTATTTTAAATCACAAACTACCCTCTTTAAGACGTTCGGTAATAAACAGCAGTTATGAAATAATTCATGTTTCTATTGAAAGAAAACATGTTCAAGGCTAGTCTATACCCTATTCTTTTCTGGCTCTACACACTCTCCATGGTTAATCTAAGCCACACCACAGGTATCAATATCACCTCCTTGCAAATGATTCCCAAAGTTACATCTCTAGGCCACACCTCTCTTTGGAGCCCCAGACAGGTATTTAACATGTCCTGTAAATCTCAATAATTACAAAATATAACCTTTTGCCCCATCATAGCTTCTCTCCACTGCCAAAACCCAATTCTGATGTCCCTTTTCTCAAACATCTAGGAGGTAAGAGTCATCTTGACATTTCCCTCTCCTTTCCCGACCCTATCTCATATCCAATTTAACATCAAGTCCTTTCACCTTCATCTCGTGCATCGCTCTCCCTTCTGTTCATTTCTCTCCTTCCCCATCACCACCACCTTAGTCCAGGATACAACCATCTTTCATTTGGACTTTAGTGGACTCCTAACTGTTCCTCTCTAATCCCTTCTTCCCACTATAGCTGAAGAGATTCCAAAAGGCCATTCTGGTCATGCTGCGCCTGTCCCACCTCTGCTTACAACACTTCAGTGGCACCCCCTTGCTTTTAGCATTAAGTCAAAACTCCCATAACTTGTTTGCACATCCCTGCCTAACCTGGTCCCCACCACCAGCCTCATCTCACAACAGTAGCCTTCATTTCTCAAGCTTCAGCCCACTAGACTCCTTTCAGCTCCCTTTATTCACTGAGCTTTCACTAGCCACAGGGTCCTGGAATATTCCCTTTCTTCCCTATCTAAATCACTAGGATTAAATTCCTAGAAGCTTCCATCTTCAGATGGAGGCTCAAGAGTCTTTCCTCAAGGAAGTTTCTTGAATTCCTCCATTAGACCTCAGATGGCACCAGAGGAAGTTTCTTGATCTTCCCGAGTTGAATTCCTCCATTAGACCTCAGATGGCACCAGTTTAGCATGATTTTATATATTTCATTAATGTCTGTCTCCCCTACTAGATGTGTAAACTTTTGCTCACACAGAAGCCCATCGATAAATGCTTATGTGAATATGAATAAGCCCACTAATGAGGAAATGATTATATGTCATTATACCTCACTATGGAATACTAAGCAGCTGTTAAAAAGAGATAACTCTATATACTAATACGAATGTCTATATTATTAATTTAAAACAGCACATTACAGAACAGTATGCATACTATTTTTAAAACTTATATGTGTATATATTTATTTAAATAAAAAAAAACCTCTGTGTTTGTTGGGGGGGTGTGGGAGGCTGTATTTAAAAAGGTCTGCAAGACTCAAGACTAACACCAAATTGCTTGAAGTGCTTACCCTGGAAAATGGAAATGAGACAAGGAAGAGGAAAAATAGGATAACAATTTCTACTTAAAAATTTCTGGGTTTGACTTTATCCAGTGATCATATGGTATTGTTGTAATTAGTTTAACAATGCCATTTTTAAAATAATGATACAGTTCACCGAAGTTCAGGAAACTGACCATTTCTAAATACAGTGAAAAGGAGGTAGAAAAGCCACTTTGTATGATCCTCAACAAGGATACAGTTCTAGAAACAAGCTAATTTCCAAGCCAGACCTTCAATCTAGCAGTAAGTTCTGATGAAGAAGCAAAATGGAAGAGAACAATTGGAAATGCCGGATTTGTTTGTTTAATTAGGTTTTACATCACATTTATAAACAAAAGAGATTTCAAAAATGCATTGCTGTCCTGGCATGGTGGCTCACACCTGTAATCCCAACACTTTGGGAGGCCAAGATGGGCAGATCACTTGAGGTCGGGAGTTCAAGACCAGTCTGGCCAACATGGGGAAACTCTGTCTCTATTAAAAATATAAACATTAGCTGGGCATGGTAGAGAGTACTTGCTACTTGGGAGGTTGAGGTATGAGAATCGCTTGAACCCGGGAGGTGGAGGTTGCAGTGAGCCAAGATAGTGCCACTGCATTCTAGCCTGAGTGACACAGCAAGACTGCATCTCAAAAAAAAAAAAGGCATTGATTCTTTTATATAAACTTGGGAGGAAAATTAGGGAAAAAATATAATAGCATGAATTTTTCTTAGTTTACTCCAATTGCTTTAAATTAAATACAATTGAGTACATGAAAGCACCTTGCTATCCCTCACTTCTCAAATAACAGCCCTTATTATCTTTACCATAACTCAAACAGAAAAGGTCATTTTCTAAATTCACACGGGTTATAGAGGAAAGACCAGGAACAAATATACTGGTGGTGCACGGACAGGATCATTCCACAGATAATGGCAGAAAACCTCACTTTGGTTGTGCAGGTGGAGAGTCCCACAGTTTCTGAAAAAGGGGAGGTGGGCGTGTGGGCATGATTCCTCCAGCAGCAGCCTACAAGGAAGAGCTGGGCAAAAGTCTGTGAATATAGAATATATACTGTCACTTGGAGCTGCATTGATTCTTTTTTCAGACTAACTAATGGCTCAGATGGTAGAACAACCAAACGATGACTAAAATATGAGTCAAATGCTTTCAAATCAAATCATTCCAATGAAACAGGAACAGAGGCAAGCAGAGAACAGGTCATTAGAGGTTCTAACCAAAACTTGTTAAATCTAAAAAAACTCACTCTCCTAAATGACTGCCTCTTTCTATCTAAATCATTTTGATGTTAGTGAACTGGGGACAATAGATCTTTATTACTTGTGACACCTACTTATCAGCTCTCAGCAGCGGAAAAGGCAGCTCCTGGCTGGGCTCATACACTTTTCCCAATCCTAATTTGTCTTCTCTCCCACGATCTATCCAGCATGTCTTCGGTGATGCCAAAGGCTGTTACAAAACTCTAAAATAAGGCTCAAAATTTACTTTCTTAATATTTTTGAAAACCAACTTTCATTTAAATATAAAAATAGCTCATATTAAGATGAAATGGGGTTGGGGGAAGGGAGGTGAGAGGAAGCCTATTATGAAATGGAATCACAGGGCATGAAGCTCCCAGAAGGCTGAAACTAACCCCCTGTGACACGGAAGAGGTGGCAGCATGTGCACTGGCCCTCGTGGAAGTACCATGTGGCCCACAACACACTCGTGGGTGATTTCCCTGACATCTTTCTCCTCCCCCTTCCTTCTGCTAATTTCTCCATTTCAAATTCTTTCCTCAAAGGTTAATCCCCATCTTACCATTCTATTCTTCCAAAAATATATATACTTTTTTCTAAACAAAGCCTCTTACCACATTTACTGGAAGCAGACTTTATCAAGAATAAGTGGAAATACCCACATGTCTCTGTTGTGTCAGGTGCCTGTTTTCATCCCTACACCACCTCCTCCTTTTTGAGAATTATCACTCATGCAGTAGGAGGAATAGAGCACAATGTTTAGCACCCAGCAAAAGTACAGGACCTCTCCCAGCAAACCAGGATGCCAGCAGAGACTGGAGCTGACTTCAGCCTAAGCTAGGCAGGCTACACACATTCCTGTTCTTTTCCCTGAATGGATTCACTTAGAAAGGAGGAGAACATGATTATTTTTTAACATTTTTTATTGCTATAAGACATACATAAAATTTATCATTTTTACCATTTTTAAGTGTACAGCTAAGCAGTGTTAAGTACCTTCCCATTGTTGCACAATCAAAATCACCACAGCTCCAAAACTTTCCAACTTCCTAAATAGAAACATTGTATCATTAAACAATAACTCTCCATTCTCTCCTCCCCAGCTTCCAACTGCCATTCCATATGTTGCACATTAAGTATCCCTTATCTAAAATTCTTTTTTTTAAATGAGACAGAGTTTCACCCTTATTGCCTAGGTTGGGGTGCAGTGGCACAATCTTGGCTCACTGTAACCTCTGCCTCCTGGGTTCAAGTGATTCTCCTGCCTCAGCCTCCTGAATAGCTGGGATTACAGGTGCATGCCACCATGCCCAGCTAATTTTTTGTATTTTTTTTTTAGTAGAGACAGGGTTTCACGATGTTGGCCAGGCTGGCCTCAAACTCTTGACCTCAGATAATCTGCCTGCCTCAGCCTCCTCAAGTGCTGGGATTAAAGGCGTGAGCCACCATGCCTGGCCCTATCCAAAATTCTTGAGATCAGAAGTGTTTTGGACTTATTTTTTCAGAGTTTGGAATATTTGCTTTATGCCAGCTGAGCAACCCAAATCCAAAAATCTAACATCTGAAAGGTTCCAATGAGCATCTTCTTGGAGCATCATGTCGGCATTCAAAAAGTTTCAGATTTTGGAGCGTTTCCCATTTCAGATTTGGGATGTCAACCTGTACTTTCTGTTTCTATGAATTTCACTACCCTAGGCACTTCATATAAGTGGAATCACATAGTATGTCCTTTTTTGTCTGGCTTATTTCACATATAATATCTTCAAGCTTCATCATACTGTAGCACATATCAGAATTTCATTCCTTTTTAAGGCTGAATAATATTTAATTATGTGTATACCACATTTTGTTTATCCATTCATCCATCGATAGACATTTGGGTGTTTCTAGAGCAACATATTCTTAATTTAGTCCCACAATTCCAGACTTACAGGTAATTTAAGTTCAATTCAACTTACTGAGCATTTACTAAGGGTAACTCACTATGGAAACTACTGTGGGAAGTACAAGGGTAAATCATACATGGTGCCTGCCCTCAAGGAACTTACGATATGCTGGGAAAAGAGAAGAGAAAGCAATAGAAGTAACCAGAATTTGCTAATTGCTTGCCATGTGCCAGGTGCTTTACCCAATCACTGCATGTATAGCTCCCAATGACTCTGCGAGGTAAATATTGTAATATCCACTTTATATAGGAAGAACAATGAAGGCACTGAGACTTTAAGTAATCACCTCCAAAGCTGGGATTTAAACTTACATCTTGGACTCGGAGGCCTGTGTTCATTCCACTACACATGTTGTTCCTTATGATTCAAGGCAGAATGTGACAACTCCTGGGGAGAAGCTACAGGAAGGTAGAAGAGGAAGAGAAGAGATTGACCCTTGCCTGATGGTAAAGGCACATGACAGGCGTAGGTGTTAGAGGTCAGGAAGGTTTATATTTGACAGAAATGGAGGGCAGAAAAAATTGCACAAGCAGAGCAAAATAAGAGAGGCAGGAAAGTTCAGTACATACTTCGGGCCCAGTGGAACTGTGGGCCATAAGGCTGCAAAGTGGTGCAGGGAAAAGTCATGGTCATAATGAAATGCTAGCTCAAAGAGTCTGAACTCCACCATCAAGCAACAGTGAGCCACTGTGGGTTTTCTGAAATGGGACATAATCAGAGTTAAGCTTCAGGAAGATCACCATGGCAATAATGCATCACAAGGATGGAGGTGGTGAGAGTAGTTTAAAGGTAGGAAAAGCAGTTAGAAGGTCACTGGTGACAGCAGATGAAGCATAAATAGAATGGAAAAGAAGATATGAATGTGAGAGATATCCCAGAGGTGGAAATGACAGAACTTGGCAATAGTGATTTCATAATACATTTCATAAAACATCAAGTAGGCTGACCATACCTTCTGGTCTGCCTGGGGTATGTTTTCCTGATGTAATGACTAATGGCATCCTTTCACTCACAAAAAGGTCCAAGTTTGGACAATAAATTATATAACCACATTAATTAGGATCAATTAGTAAACAGAATCAAAGGTAACTCCAAGATTCTAAACTTGGATTAGTAAGAAAAGTGGTAACACCTTTGGAAACACAGAAGGGAAATCAGGTTTCCGGGAAAGATGTTGAGTTTTGATCTGGACATGTTAACTTTGCTGCTGAGGTGAGGATTTATTTAAGAGCGAGAAGCACCTTGCCCATGGATTTCCCCTGTATCACGTGAAGGAAGGCATCATTGACCTAAAACAAAATGCAAAAGAATGTAGTCAGATTTGCATACATGGATATTTCAATAAACATTTGTTGCTGGTTCAGTTATTAAAATAACTAACATATAAAGATGTATCTCCAATGAACTATAAATAACTATGCAACACTATCACAAATGCAAAGGAAAACAATAACATTCAAGAATAACTCAAGCTCAGTATTTCTATCTAAATGTGTAATTCTCAGTGTTGTCAAATACATGCCAGACGGTAAAAAGTCCTAGACCTGTCCATACTCCACTGTAATAGTTCTTCGTTTTCTAGCTTTTGAAAGAATGGATCCACTGGCAGAAGAATCAATATTTTTAGGTTTAATAATTTTTGTCTTTTTATTAAAATTGTCCTGTTTCCTATGTAACTGAAATTGTAATCTATCTCGAATCTTTTTTGGAAGTGCAAGGTTACAAAACATATTTAAAGCAGCTACAGTAATCAAGGCATTGTCATATTGGTGAAAGAACAGACAAACAGATCAATGGAATAGAACAGAGAGTCCAAAAACAGATCCATACAAATACAGTCAACTGATCTTTGACAAGACAGCAAAGCAATTCAATGGAGACAGAATAGTCTTTCAACAAATGGTGCCAGAAAAACTGGATATCCACATGCAAAAATATGAATCTAGATACAGACCTGATACTCTTCACAAAACCCACCTCAAAATGGATCATAGGACTTAAATGTAAAATGCAAAACTATAAAACTTCCAGAAGAAAATATGGGAAAAATCTAGGTCACCTTGGTTTAGAAATGAGTTTTTAGATACAGCACCAAAAAAGCACATCCATGGAAAAAAAAATGGTAAGTTGTCTGCCTAAAGTTAAAAACTTATGCTCTGCAAAACGCATTGTTAAAAGAATAAAAAGACAAGCCACAGTCAGGTAGAAAAATCTCTGCAAAACATGTATCTGATAAATGACTTGTATCTAAAATATACACATAATTCTTAAAACTTAACAATAAAAAGCAGGCAAAAGATCTGAACAGACACGTCACCAAAGAAGATATACAGATGGCAAATAAGCATATAAAAAGACGCCCAACAGCATATGTCACTAAGGAACTGCAATTAAAACAACGAGATACCACTACATACCTGCCAGAATGGCTAAAATCCAAAACACTAACAGCAAATGCTGGTGAGGATGTGGAGCAATAGAAACTCCCATTTACTGCTGGAGGGAATACAAAATGGTACAGTCGCTTTGGAAAACAATTTGGTAGTTTCTTACAGAACTAAACACATCCTCACCATACAATCCAGCAATTTCACTTCTAGGTATTTACCCAAATGATCCAAAAACTTATGTCCACACAAAAGCCTGCACATAAGTGTTTATAGCTGCTTTTTGATAATTGACAAAATTTGAAAACAACCAAGAAGTCCTTAAATAGGTGAATGGAAAAACAACCTGTGGTACATCCATACAGTGAAATATCATCCTGTGATAAGAAGAAATGATCCATCATGCCAAGAAAAGACATGGAGGAATCTTAAGTGCATATTTCTAAGTGAAAGAAGCCAGTGTGAAAAGGCTGCATGCAGTCTGACTCCAACTATGTAAATTCAGGAAAAGGCAAAACTGTAGAAAAAGTAAAAGGATCAGTGGCTGCCAGGGATTGAGAGGCTGGGGGTAAGGATGACTATGTAGAGCACAGGGGATTATTTTAAAGCTGTGAAGCAATTAAATCTAGACATAAAGCAATTAAATCTAGACAAAAGTGATAGTAGCATGACAAATGTGGAAGAAGACTTTTGCAAAGTCTCAAACTAACATCTAGAGCTTTGCTACGCAATGGGTGGTTTAAGAACCTCAGGCTTCTGCATCACCTAGGAGCTTATTAGAAATGCACGCTCCTAAGTCCCATCCCATCCTCACTGAATCATAATCTGAATCTTAACAAGATTCCCAGGTGATCTGTCTGCACATCAACGTTTCAGAATACACAAGGAACGTTTGCAACTTAGTAAGAAAAAGACAGGAAGGCCAGGCATGATGATTCAAACCTGTCATCCCAGCACTTCGGGAGGCCAAGTTGGGAGGATCACTTGAGCCCAGGAGTTGGAGGCCAGCCTGGGCATCACAGGGAGACCCCATCTCTATTAAAAAAATTTTTTTAATTAGCTGGGCATGGTGGCACATGCCTGTAGTCCCAGCTACTCAGGAGGCTGAGGCAGGAAGTCATTTGAACTTAGGAGGATTGCTTGAGGCCCAGAGGTAGGCTTCAGTGAACCATGATCGCATCACTGCACTCCAGCCTAGGTGACAGTGCAAGACCTCATCTCAAATAAACAAGAACAAAACCCAAAGAGACAGGAAGCCAAATAGAAGACTACACAAAGAGCTTAAATTGCAATTCAAAGCACTGGAAACCTGAATGGATACCAAATATATAAAGAGATGCTTAAATGTATTAGAAATCAAGAAAATTCAAATGAAAATAGTAAGATGCCACTTTACACCTTAACAGTTTGGCAAAAATCTGAATGTTGGGCATATCAATGGGGTAGCAAATAGACAAGAATTCTCACGTGCTGCTGACAGAGGCACAAACTGGTCAAGTCATTCTAGAGAGTAATTGGCAGTCAAATTAAGTATGCATACATCCTATGACCCAACAATCTACACCTGGGAAAATAACCCCAAAGTGACCTTGGCACAAGTCCCTAAGGTTACACATATAAGGCTATTTACTGCTGTACTGATTATTATGGCTTGATTAGGGAATCAAGTCAACCTCAACGTTCATCAATAGAGAATGAATCTGTAAACCGTGGTGGACGCACATCATGCACCACGATGTAGCAGTGGGAAGCAATGAACTGGATACAGGAACAGCAACACAGATGGATCTTAAAAAGACATCACTGAGAGAGTTTATGAAACAGCACAAGGTCTAATGCCTAACACCGTTTATGTAACTTAAAAAGAAATTAACACACAAATTAACTGTATTTGTTTTACAAGGAAATGTAAATCCAAAGATACATGTCAAACTCATCACAGACTGGCTCAGAAGGAAGGAAAAAGAGTGGAGAGAGGCAGTGGGAAACAAGGATAAAGGGAATAAATAAATACAGACATTCATAAAATTACCAACATAAAAACAAAAGATCACCTTTCCATGATCCAACAATGAAAACGTGCTTTGAAATGAAGATTATGATTAATCAACCCTTTCCATTTGAGATTCTCCAAAAAAAAAAAAATACGAAGAATAAAGTAAAATAAGTATAGGAACAAATCAATCATGGCAATCTCTCTGCCATATGAAATCCCTGGTTTCCAAAACATCTATCTTTCAGAGCTCTGTGCCTTACAGAGACCTTTCCCATCTAAGCAAATTTAGACTCTCGACAAGGAGGTGGAAGCGGTCTAAGACAGATGTTTGAAACACTCATCCCACTTGTCAGTCATTTCCAGGTGACTCACAGCTGCATCACTCTCCCTGTCAGTTAGAAGTCACTTGTTCCCGGAGATGTGTCATAGCCCAACAATAGAAAATACTTGAGAAAATAAATATTATTAAAGCTAGTGATACTTTTTTGCTGGCATCCTAAGGGAATGAGGATCTTCTGCAAATAAATGTTAACATAAAAAGAAAGCTGTCCCCTCAAATGCTCAAGCTAATTTTAATCGTGTTGCATATGAATCTTTATTAGAATGTGTCACTTATTTTTGTGACTGCTATAACAGAGAATACTGGGGAAAACATAATCTTGTTCCACAACTTGAGCATTTCAAAATTTTGAACATCCATTATTTTACCTTCTGTTTTTCTGATATTCTGTCACCTCTCCATGTCCAGTTGCCACTTCTGTTGTAACTGCAGCTGCCTCTAAAAATAACCCAACCCTGTCCCTTTCTACCTGGTGGTCTCTGTCCGGGCTGGGAAAACAGACTGACTCTCAGTGGTGTTTAAGGACTGGAAGTTTAATTAAGGTAATAAGGATCTGAGTGAGAAACTGAAAACTAAAGTGTACGGCTTTGGACCAGTCTTTTGATAGCTACTTCAGATAGCCTAGGGACACTTTCCTCCTGGATTCTGCAGGCTGTGTTACAGAGAGGAAGACTGCACGATACTGATGCCTAGATATGATAGATACACAGGCTGTTCCCAGCACCCTGGTTTTCTGCCTTCAGTTGGATGAAGCCATAATTAAATTTGTCTCTGGAGAAATGCAACCTGGCATTTGGAGCAGGATAAGAACATTGCTTTTGTTTTAGGATATGAAGGTTCTGCTGTTGGAATTTTTAACTAGTTCTGCAATCAGGAACAATCAAAGTAACTTAGAGTTTTCTAAATATATCATATTGATGTGTGCATTCAGTAGAAACTAGCTCTTCCCCTGAGATCTTCCCAACTAAAAAACAAACTCTTTATAAGCAAGACTAAATCTTACTTTTATTGACTGACATACAGTGAATGTTTGATGAATAAAATAAATCATGAATTAATGAATATATCTGAGATTTCGTCATTACATGATGTCCTTCTTTGCATTTTTTTTGAGTGTTGCTGCTTTAAAGTCTGTTTTGTCTATAAGAACAGCTACTCCTGCCTGCTTTTGGTTTCCATTTGTGTGGAACCTCTTTCCCCACCCCTTTATTTTGAATTTACATGAATCCTTTTGTGTTAGGAGAGTCTCTTGAAGATAGCAAATATTTGGTTGGTGGCTCTTTATTCATTCTGCCATTCTGTATCTTTTAAGTAGAGCATTTAGGCCATTTACATTCGGTTAACATTGAGGTGTTAGGTACTGTTCTACTCATTATATTAGTTGTAACCTAGATACTGTTTTTTTCATTGTGCTATTGTTTTACAGACCCTGTGAGACTTATGCTTTAAGGAGGTTCGACCCCAGCCTACAGAAATGGGATTGCTTTTAAAAGGTAAAAACTTTTGGCTAGCAGTATGTTGTTAAGGTGAATTATATTCATCACATCATTGATCTAAGTTTATCTAAATCTTAGATCCTCTACAAATCTAATGAAATGTCGACCATTCAAGGAAACAACTGACAAGACTAAGTTTTGGCAGATGCAGAGCAACTGGAACTCTCATACACAGGGAATGCAAGATGGCACGAGCACTGTGGAAAATAGTTTGCCAATTTATTAAAAGCTAAACATGTAGTAGCAAACCAATACAAGCAAAATCCCAAAATGTTAAAACAGACAGTTCAACTTTGGGCACATTTGTATGCCAGAGCTCCAGTTTCTAATCCAGAATACAGCAAAAGAAATAGAAAACCTGTGTGATATGGGCTTTGGTAGGAATGTGGTATCAGTGACCTTGTCTTCAAAGTCATAGGATATGGAAACTGAAACAGAATTGCTTCTGAATAACTGAGGCATAGAGAAAGAGATGCTGATATCACTGAAGTTGCCCACTTTGGAAGGGCATCAACATCTGTTATTTTTAGAATTCTGCACACATTTATTTTAATGTTATCGTTCAGAAGCAGCTACAATTCAATCCTTGCCTCATATCATTCTTGCTTCATGATGTTATCTAGGCAACACTGGAGAATGAGGAGAAAAGTAAAACCAATTAAACATCTGTGTAAATTGTTTTAAGTTAAACATACATCTAGCATATAGCCCAGAAATTTCAGTCCTAAAATATATAAAACCATATGTCTACACCTGTCATGAATGTTTATAGAAGATAAATTTATAATCACCAAAAACTGAAAACAATCAAATGTCTGTATACTGGTGAATGAAAAATTTAAAAACTGTGGTACATCCATACAATGAAATACTACTCAGCAATAAAAAGGAATGGATTACTGACACATGCAGCAACATGGTGCACCTCAGAAGCATTACACAAAGAGAAAGAAACCAAACTCAAAAAGCTACATACTGTATGATTTAATTTACATGACACTCTGGAAAAGAAAAATTATGCAGGAAGAAAACAGGTCAGTGACTACCAGTAGCTGTGGAGAAGGAAAAGGAGACCATTACAAGGTGCACAAGGGAACTTTTGGGGGTGATGGAAATGTTCTTATATCATGACTGTGGTGGGGTAGCTATATGCTCTATAGGTTTGTCAAAACTCAGAGAACTGTACATCTAAAAAGGGTGAATTTTATTATATGTAAATTATATCTCAACAAACTTAACTTTTTTTAAAAAGTCAGGCAATGTGGTACTAAACATAAAAATAAATAAATTTTTGAAGTTGAGCATCAGCCTGACCCTTAGAAAACAGAACCTAATCAAAAGTTATGCCCTAATGCATCACTAAGGGTTGCAATCCCAGAGTCAAGAGTAAAGGAAAAAGTGAAGAAAATCAATGAAAGAAGGAGAGAAACTACAGGCCATTGTGTTACTGATTTTGAATTGGTTGTAGCTTCAAGGGGACATGCAGTTGACTGTTGTTCTCACAGGACATTTATAGAGAAGCCATTGGATAGTGGCAATGGTTATTCACAAAAGAAAAAAAAAATGCTGGGTGCAGTGGCTCACGCCTGTAGTCCCAGCACTTTGGGAGGCCGAGGCGAGTTGATCACCTGAGATCAGGAGTTTGAGACCAGCCTGACCAACATGGTGAAACCCCATCTCTACTAAAAATACAAAATTAGCCTGGCGTGGTGGCAGGTGCCTGTAATCCCAGCTACTTGGTAGGCTGAGGCAGAAGAATCACTTGAACCCAGGAGGCAGAGGTTGCAGTGACCGAGATCACGCCACTGCACTCCAGCCTGGGCAACAAAAGCAAAATTCCATCTGAAAAAAAAAAGAAGCGGGAGCCATATGAAACAGTCAACAAGGAGGAGAAAAAACAAACAATTTATCTCCTTTCATTCCTCTCAATGAAAAGCTTGCTCAATGGAGTGAAATACCCATACTTTTGGACTGCATTGCCCAGACCCTGCATACAGTTCTGGGGAAGCCAGAGGCTTCAACAGGTCCATTTGGATCAAACCTCTGCACCAGAGCTGCAGAAACTCCTGTATGATGAGCAGAATGGAGCCCTTGCCTCTAGGATCAGCTCCCAACCCAGGAAAGCATGAGGCAATTAACGATGTTAGGAGATGCATCCCAGGGATAGTGGTTTGGGCTGTACAAACCATAGAATCAGCTACAGGAGTCATCACTGGAAAAGCGTGACAAGTGGCCAAGGCCTGGGGCAGGTGGGGCCAGCAGATATGGGGAGTTTCACAAACTGGGTCTAGAACAATGGGCTATAATTAATAGACCTCCTAAACTAAAAGAGTAGTTTCATTTTTAAGACTATGCCACAGATACACAGAGAAAATTTCAAGCAAACAATTTCTATCCATCTGTTCATATGATGATCTCACCTGACCTTTAAATAATAAATAAGTCAGATCTGTGAGGTTAAATACCGTGTCAAGCTGACATGTTCGGGGACCGCTCCATACATAAAACAGACACTGCACATCTAAATAATGCCCTCCTCTGGACAGATCACAGGACCAATTCATCATCCACCCACCACAGCATGGATATAATCCTTCAGAAAATAATAAATTCTAAGTAGCATTCAAAATCTAAAGGCTGTCTTATAATCCTTCCCTCTGAGACATCAATGCAAAAATGTTACAGTTGAGGGGAACTGAAAAAGCTCAACTCTGTGTTTTAAAATGGCAATATCTTATGCTTTTAAAAAGTTACTATATTCATTATGTGCTTTTACATGTATCATCTTATTTAATCCTCATAATCACCCTAGGAGGCAGGGTATATTGCTGTTCCTGTTACAGTTGAGAAAACTAAGGCACAAAGATGTGCAATTTGCCCACAGCATCTGAACTTTGCTGGTCTGAGCCCAGAGCCCCACACTCACACACATATATGTGAGTGCCTGCCAGAAGCTGAAGATATTGAGGTGCAGATAGCACATGACCCTGCTTGCACAGAGTTTATGCTCTATGGAAAAGATGGGCGTTAGACAAGTAATCACAAGTAAATAAAGGAGAAGCAGAGTGCTATGGAAGTTCACACCCTGTGCCTACTCAAAAATCTACGGTGCAAAGTTTGTGGTCATATTGATATCAACTACCAAGGTTAAATCTGCAAGTGCACATATTCAGGAGAAAATACAAGCCAGTCAGATTCACTAGTGCTTTTTAGTTTGTATTTTCTCTATATACAGTACAGTGGTCATTTTCCAAACCTAAACAGGTCCTGATAAAAAACTTTTTCCAGTATGTTAAACAATTTACATGTTTACTAATTTGCTCATTTAATATTTTTCTTACCCAGGCTTTAAAGTTCAATGAAATTAATTATATATCCATTTAACCATCTTCATTTTCAAAAGAACAAAGAACAAAATATATAAATTCTGGTACTGCCCAGGAAAATATAAGAGTACTGGTTATTTTAACTATAACATAGTTCTTTCACACAGATAATTCTATGATAAATAGATAAACTTCATTCTATAAAATAAAGCTTCTCAGAAGTGCCTTCTTGGCTTGTTTGAGGAGAGAGTTTGACACAGTCATAAGAAGCCCAGATTCTGGCATTAGATGGACCAAGACTAGATTTACTTCCTACCTATCACTGGGCAAGGCTCCCAGCCTCTAGAAGTCCTGATTCTTTCATCTGTAAAATCTAATAAAGTTGCTGAGACCTCAAAGGGTTGCTGTGAAGGTTAAAGGAGATAATGCATGTAAAGTGTTTAGCATACTTCTTGACCCATAGTAAGCACCTAATGTATATGAGCTGTCATTCCTATTATTAATCCTCTAAATGGTTTGCATATTGAAAGAAACAGAAAAAGAAGAAATGGTAAATGGATGGTGTATGAATGAGATGCTTGAAATGTGTTAGGGAGTATGGCCTAAAGAGCCACCCAATTACACCAAGGGCAGCAGAGTGAGAACAACTCTGTAAATTCCACATGCTGAGCCCTCACTGGAAAGGAGAAGGGCAAACGGAAGCTGACAGGTGGTTAGTAATTACATAGTCAATTCATGTTTACAGAGGAGAGAGAACTTCAACAGGGATAATTAAAACGATAATCTACCTCTGGCTTTGATACCTGCCTAAACAGCACCTAAAAGACCTTGAGGGAGAAGAGACAGTTCAAACTAACACTTGTTTCCACTTCTGTATACCTGATTGTCCTTATCCCTTATCAACGGGTATAGCATCAGGTAAAGCAAACATCCAGTTAGAAGTCACATGATAAAAACCGCAGGATGGAAGGGGACTCAAAACTTGGGGTTTTCAAGTTTTTAAGTCACAAGACCTTTTCTTAAAAGTTTGAACAAAGTAGTTAAAATGTGCAGGTACTCAAACTCCAGCAGCAATGGTGTCCCAGAGAATAAGCAGCTCACATCTACACCTGCTGCCCCCAGCCCCACATCCCTGCTGTGGCTCCTGCAGCACAGTCTGAAAACTACTCATAATGTCCTTCCACTTAATTTTAGAGAGGTGGAAACTGAAGTCAGAAAAGCAAGGGGACTTCCACAAAATGACACAGCTGGAGGGACGAAGCTGTGACTGGCATCCAACCAGTATTCTACTGGCCAGTAGGTTCTCTTCACCACTGAACGCCATCTTTCTGACTTACAGACTAAAAAGACAAAGAAAATAAGCCATGTTTGGAAAGAATGTGTCTCCTCACAGGAACAAATAACCATGGAAGGCTGGTCAGCCATGAAGTCTGGCACCGACAGCTTGGACTCCACTAATCTGCATTTGAACAAAATATCACCTCCATCTATGGCTGACAGGAGTTACCAAGACAGTTTTTTGAACATTAAAACAAATTAAGTCAAAAAAATAATAAAGACTTCACAGTGAATGCCTAACAGATTCACATTTACAACTATATTGCATATGCATGCTTACAGTTACACTTTGGAGGAAGTATAAGCCACATTAATGAGACAGGGGGAAAGAAAAAAGGGAGTGAATAGCCAACAAAATTAACTACAGTGACTAATGGATGAATTACAGTCTTATGATGCCAGGCATGATTTAGTGTTCTTCTCACAGAACCCCAACTTAGATCATCTGGTTGTGCTTTAAAGCATCTATATTTTAAAACCAAATGTCATGCCAAGTACTTTCTTAGACTTGTATATTGTAGAGTTCAAAGTTCATATCAACACCTGTAAATCATTTTCTAAAGTACCATAACTTTCCCCTATTTGAGAGAGCAGGGATGCAGACAGAGCCCTCAAATTTCAGCTTCACATGGCCTTCAGGGATTCAGATTCACATTGGGCCTGAGTCTACTGCCATACAACCCAGAAGACTGGGAAAAATCCTGTGGCCCTGACTCCGTGCAATTCCACTAGTTTGTGTTGCATCTTCACCTTTTTATTTTATAAAAGGAGGATTTATAGTATCCAGAGATAAATTTATGCCCAACAGCTTGACACAAAGTATTTTCTGGCCTCATCTGCATCACATCCCTTAAGTACGTCTCACCTCCTCCAGCTTGAAAACCATTCCGACATATGGTTGTATGCACCCTTGCTGGCAGTACTGAAGCAATGAAGACAGGCTCTTGGAGAAGACAGGAAACTTTCTTTCTTTGTATTGACCATAGAAGAGGCCCAAGGCAGAGACATTCTTCAGGAGTAGAAGGTTGGCTGGCACAGAAGCAATGTTTCCTCCAGCAAATCCCACCACCACAATTCTGCCCTCCCATGCCAGGCTGAGGAGACAGAGAAGAAGAAAAAGAAATTATAAAAAAGCAACATACATTCACACCCATTAGGATGGCTGGTCTCATAAAATAATAAGTGAAAAATGTTGCGAGGGAAGTAAGCCCTTGAGCACTGTTGGTGGGATTATAAAATGGTGCAACTACTACAGAAAACTGTATGAAGGTTCCCCAAAAAATTAAAAATAGGTTTAGCAATTCCACTTCTTACATATATCTAAAAAAACTGAAAGCAAGGTCTCAAAGAGATACTTGCATACCCATATTCATAGCAGCAGTATTCGCAATAGCCAAGAGGTAGAAGCAACCCAGTGTCCATAACTGATAAGCAAAATGTGATATATACAAATAATGAAATATTATTCAGGCTTAAAAAGGAAAGAAATCCTGTCACATGCAATAACATAGATGATCCTTGAGAATATTATGCTAAGTGAAATAAGCCAAACATAAAAAGACAAATACTATACGATTCCACTTACAGGAGGTATCTAAATTAGTCAAATTCATAGGAACAGAAAGTGTAATGGTGGTTATCAAGGGCTAAGAAAAGGGAGGAAAAGAGAGACGTAGTTTAATGGCTATAGTTTCAGGTTTACAAGATGAAAAAGTTCTTGAGATCTGTCACACAACAATGTGAATATAATTAACACTACTGAACTGTACATTTGAAAATGGTTAAGATGGCAAATTTTATGTTATCTGTTTTTTACCATAATAAAAAAAAAGGAGAATGAAAAGAAAAAGCAATGTACATTAATTTTCACAGAGAAAGAAAGGGCAGAGGTTACCAGGGGTTGGGGAAGGGGAAAGAGGCAGTTAATGTTTAACAAGTACAGAGTTTTTGTTGGGGATGATTATGCAACATTATGACTGTATTTAATGCCAGTGAATTGCACACTTATAAATCATTAAAATGATAAATATTAGGTTTTGGCATGTTTTACCACCATTAAAAATAAAACCAACATGTATTAAATCCACAGCTGAGAATGCCTCTTGACCTTGCAAATTGGCAGGAGTGAACCATCCTTTATTACTTTGGGCTTCTCAGCGAAAAAAAAAAAATATATATATATATATATATATATATATATTTGTTTACATATATATATATTTGTTTACACACACATATATATATATAAATGCCATAAGCCAGGGATTAGGGAGCCAAAGGAACTAGCCAATTTTATAAGGGGGCCCACTTTAGAATAAAGGCTGTTGAACGAGGTACAGTGGCTCAAACCTATAATCTAAGCACCCTTGGAGGTCAAGGCAAAAGGATCACTTGAGCCCAGGAGGTCAAGACCAGCCTGGGCAACATAGTGAGACTTTGTCTTTACAAATGTATAAAAATATTAGCCAGACATGGTGGCATATGCCTGTAGTCCCAGTGATATGGTTTGGCTATGTCCCCATCCAAATCTCATTTTGAATTGTAGTTCCCATAATCCCCATGTGTCATGTGAGGGACCTAGTGGGAGGTAACTTAATCACGGGGACAGTTACCCTCATGCTGTTCTTGTGATAGTGAGTGGGTTCTCAAAGGATCTGATGTTTTTATAAGGGGCTTTTCCCCAGCACCTCCCTTTGCTGCTGCCATGTGAAGGAGGACAAGTTTGCTTCCCCTTCCACCATGACTATAAGTTTCCTGAGAACTCCCTGCCATGCTGAACTGTGAGTCAATTAAACCTTTTTTTATATATATAAATTACCCAGTCCCAGGTATGTCTTTGTTAGCAGTGTAAGAACAGACTAATACACCTAGCTACTTGAGAGGCTAAGGCAAGAAGACTGCTTGAGCCCAGGAGGTCAAGGCTGCAGTGAGCCACGGAGCCATGATTGCACCACTATACCACTATGCTCCAGCCTGTGCAACAGAGTGAGATGCTGTCCCCCAAAATAAAAAAAAGAATCAAGACTATCTATTCAACTACCTCAACCACTTTGAGGAAGAAAATTGGGCACATAGACAAATGTCACTCCATTGGTTGTATTGAGATAACTCAGTTCGAAGATTATGAACTTAAGAAGCAGCAATAAGAACACACTTTAATGAGGGAAGAACCATTTGCCTTATACAAAGACTTACTTTAGGATTTAGGATCCCATTAATGCATGTGTCTCTTTAGAGAATTTTAAATAATGTACAGAAATTCACAAGTATTCTGCAGCCCAGTATGAAAAGTCCCCTACAGTACCATTGAGCACTGAGTTACAGAAACAACTTTTGCAAACATCTTTGATATAAAATATGTGTATATTTGTTTGGTTTTTGCTTTTTGTTTTTCTTCTTTAGACGGGAAATGAGAAGCTATTGCTAAAACACAATTATCCAGAAGGCAAGGAGGAAGGCAAGAGATGGGAGAGTTTTACCAGCTCTCTCTCCTGGCATTCCACTTGGACTACACATTCGCTTTGCTTTTTCTCTAAGCACAGCACCAGGCACGGTGCAGTGATGAACAAACATATAGACTGCCTGCCATTCAGCTTAGGGGCTAGAGAACCAACTGGATCCCTTTTGTGGGTCGGCTGCTCTCTCTGCTTCTGCTGCTTCTACTTGAAACTGAGATAAACTACAAAATTATGCTTGCCAGGATGACATGAGAAATGAAACCAATGCTATCAGAGTCTACTCCAGAATCCTTGGTTGAAAACAGAATGAGAACTGGTGTGATACAACACTCCTACTAAGTCACCAGTTATATTTTTTAAATAAAACAAGTCAAGGAAGTATCTACACTGCTGGCTGCTTTAGAAAGCAGTAAGATCAGAAGAGCCTGTACCTTGGTCCACAGTGAAATGGGAAAAGGGGAATTGCCACTCCAGTAATTCTAATATCTGAACAATACCCTCTGCGAGAATTGCCCACAGACATGGATATAAAGTAGTTAGTGGGAGCCGGCATAGCTGAATTTAACACATGCATAATTTCTAAAGCATTTGGCATTGCCAACTAGAGAGTCTGCAGTCATTTTTTGGATATTTTCCAGTTGGGTATTTTGTTTTTGCTATATATAAGCATTTCCTGATTTTCTCTGCTTCTATTCCTTTTCACCCACCCACTCAGCCGTTCTCGTTGATGCTGATGCCTACAGGAGAAGTGAACAGCAAAGATGAGAGAGAAGCAAGGCCAGAAGGAAGGCAGAGATCAGGAAAGGTTTCAGCTCAAGCTCACTCTGGGCAGACCACCCCACACACCTGCGGAGAGCCTCCAGGAAGATGTCTCCTCCCACCATGTCGATGGCCACATTCACCCCGCCCTCGCCCACCAGCTTCCTCACTGCATCCTTCAGGCTGCCCTGATTGTAGTTCACACTGGACTGCGCACCCCTCTGCAGCACCAGCTTGCACTTCTCGTCACTTCCAGCAGCAGCTATTACCTGCATCAAGAACACAAGGTATCTGATTATCCAGAATGTGTCCCAAGAAAGGGACACCCCACCTACCCCAACTGCAGCCAAATCGTGCTACTCAAGGAAATCATTATGACTTTGCTGCCCTGGCGTTGGCCTTGAGCCCACATATCAAGCCTAACACACAGACCATCCTACTGGCCCCTCCATGCCCTACTGGCCATGAGGTCCACATTTCTAGAAATCCTAGAACCCTAACAGGGTAACTAGAAGGTGGTTTGAGAGACACTCAGAAAGTCTTCTCAAATGCAAATGAAAACCACCATTTATTGAGGCACCTACTATGAATCAAGTAGTAAGGATATAAGATGGATCCTTTAGAGCTCAGAAAGCAAGATACAGCAGAGTGATAGGGGAAATACAGAGGGGTCCGGAAATGTAAACAAAAGGCACCCAATCTAGATCTAGAGGGTAAGGAATGACTTCCTAAAGGGTAAAACATGATTCAATAGAAAAATCTTGAGGTTAGAGAGACCTTAGTCCAAATCCTGGCTTTGCCACTCACTAGTCATGTTACCCTAGGCAAATTACTTAGTAAGAACTAATGTATTTTGTTACTATTTGCCAGTTACTACTCTAAATGTTTTACATATATGAATAACTCATTTAATTATAATAAGCCAATGAAATATACAGTATCATTATCCTTGTTTTGTAGATGAAGAAACTGAGGCAAAAGAAGTTAAGTAACTTGTTACCCAAGGAAGGTGACAAACAATGGGAGACAGGCCAGGCGTGGTGGCTCACGCTTATAATCCCAGCACTTTAGGAGGCCAAGGCAGGTGGATCACGAGTCAAGAGATCGAGACCATCCCGGTCAACATGGTGAAACCCCGTCTCTACTAAAAATACAAAAATTAGCTAGGCATGGTGGTGCACGCCTGTAGTCCCAGCTACTCAGGAGGCTGAGGAAGGAGAATTGCTTAAACCCAGGAGGTGGAGGGTGCGGTGAGCTGAGATCAAGCCATTGCACTCCAGCCTGAGTAACAAGAGTGAAACTCCATCTCAGAAAAAAAAAAAAATGGGAGACAGAGCTGGAGCCCAAACCCAGGTAATTCAACTCCAGAGTCCATGCATTTAACCTCCATTCTGTTTGCCAGCTTCTCAAGGTTTCAGTTACCTCATCAGTAAAGTAAGACATTTTAAAAACTATCTCCAGGCACAAGCTCAAGAGAAAAAAAAGAAAAATAATTAAATGGTACACTGTATATAAAGCACTTGGAAAACAAAGTGTTAGGTAAATTGAAGCCATTGTTACACACATGCAATCATTTATTCTATTTGAACCTTATAAGAACATTATGAAGGAAGTACAATTACTACCATTCTGCAGAGACACAGACTCAGAGAGGTTGAGCAATCAACCAGAGTTGTCCAGGTAGCAGGTGTTAGAACAACTATTCAAGCCCACTGCTGCGTTACTCCAAAGCCCATGCTTTTCCACTCCATCAGCCTAGGAGAAAACCATACCTAAGGCCAGACACAGATGGCATAGACGGTGGTGGGCCATACTATGGGGAAGTCTGGGGTTTGGAAGTCTTCAGAAAAGCTGCAAACACTCAAGTATTGCCTAGACGTGCCTCATCATGGGGCAGCACCCACCAGCCCAAGCACTTTAGTCTCAAGGTGAATTTGCAATGGAATACTCCAAGAACACTGGTGCCCTTGAAAGATTCCAAACTGACTCACAGCTATTTGAAACTGAATGCTTCCCTCAAATGCTCCCTGGTGGAACCCCAAAATAGCTACAGTTCACTGAGGGCTATTAGCACACAGTGCCACAGTGGGCAGACACTGCTCTGGGGTCAGGCACCTGAATTGAATCCCAAGATTCTCACTGGGTCTCCATGAGACCTGCAGTGAACCATTTTCTCTCTTGGTGCCTCGCTTTCTCAATTTGTGAAATAGGGATAATAAACACTTATACTACCCATATCCCGGGGGCTTTTGTGGATCAAGGGTAAGATAATTGCTGTGGAGGCACTTTGGAAGCAATATGAAATGCTGTAGACTCAAGGTGTAATCAAAATGACCTGTTCCACATAGGAGGCACGGTAACATTTATATTTTTGTTTGCTTTTGTTTAAAACCATTATTGCTGTTAAAGAAAATACAGCGTAGATTAATTTTAACATAGTAATTAAAGTGAGCTTTTCTCTCTACGATTTATAGCAATTTATAACTATTTAAAACAATTTGTACAATTTTATCTTCCTTGAAATGTTAAATAACCAATAGCTCTAGACAATAAAGCCAATTACAGTTTCTTCCCCAAACAGGAGCTAAAAGCTCATCCTTTTAATGTGAAATGTGTTCATATCACTTGAGGAGCTTCCTGGTATCTATGATTACTTTCAGAACTCACATGTCCTTCCCGAATGGAACTTAATATGAGAAAAGAGAGATGTCCCCTAAAGGAGTTCCAGACCAATCCAATTATCTCCAAACCTGTATATACCTAGCTGCCCTCTGGATATCCAACTGCATGCTCCACAGGAACCTCACATTCAACACGGCCAAAACCCAACTCACTCTTCCTGCCCGTGTTCTCAATCTCAATAAATGGCAACTCCACAAGTTAACTTAGTTTGCTCCTTCCCACTCAATGTCTAATAATAACAGGATTCTTTTTAAAGTGATTCTTACTGACATGCCCCACCCTCTAATAGGCACTGCACGTGTAATCTTAATATTCCCACAACAACTCCATGGAGAAAGCATTCATTTACAAGGGAGAAAATTGACAATATTAAGCTGGAGGCAGAGCTGGAATTTGAACCTATGTCAGGCTAACTTTAAAGACCTTGTTCTTTTGACTAGAGCAGGATGCTCTCCAGGTACCAAATTATCTATTTTTTTCCACGTCAGTATCTCTCAATGCATTGTTTCCATTGCATTGGTTCAGGTATCCTATCCTAATCCTGGCTTGGATTGCTCGAAGAGCCTGTCCTATTACTTCCAGACTATGCTTGACCTTTCCCCTATCCCTCATCCCCATGGCTACCAGAGTGAACTTTTCCAAATGCAAAAATATCATGTCACTTCCCTACTTTAAATCCTCAAATGCTCCCAATAGCTTCCAATAAATGTTCAAATTCTTCAGCCCCACACAAGGCCCCTCATGACCTTATCTCTGCCCTCCTCTCTAGAGTCACCTCCCACCATTTCACCCCAAGTCCTTGGCTCCAGAGATGCTATTTGCAATTCTCTGAATGTACCATGCTAGTTCCTAGTTCTCTGTCTTCTAATAAGCCCTCCCACCACTAAAAAAGGCTTTTACTTCCCTTCTTCCTCTATCAATTGCAACCCATTCTTTAAAAGTCAGTTTAAATGTCCACCTTCTCCAAGAAGTCCCCCCTTTTCCAGCACTCACAGCTACAGAAAGATGCTTCTGAAGAGACCTAAGTCTTTTTCCACTATTCATTCATTCATTCATTCATTCAAGAAATAATTCTTGAGGGCCTACTGTGTTCTAGGCACCACGCGAGGTACAGGACTACAGGGATGAACCAAAGAGACACTATCACTGCCTTTATGGCGATTACAGTCCAGTAAGAGGGAGACAATAACCCAATAACGACAGAAGTAACCACACCCTGAGCTCTGAATTATGAAAAAGTAGAGGGTGCTATAAAATTATATATACAGAGGAAGGAAAGGGGACTCACCTAGACTGAGGGACAGAGAATACTTCTCTGAAAAAGTGACGTTTGAGTTTAAATCTGAACGACAGCTCTGAGCATTAGAGGTAGAGAAAATAGCATGTACAGAAGGCATGAAGTGAGTCAGACCTTGCCAGCGTCTAGTAACTGGAAGGATGAGTGATTTGCTTCTAGGCCCCCTCCCTAGTCAGTAAGAAAATAGATGGCAAGACCCTGCTCTGGGTCACTTTATATCGCCAGTGCCTTGCACATGATTTTTAACCAATGAATGAATATATTGTTGGAATAAATACATGTTTGAAAACTGGAGTTAGGATTTTTTTTTAATGGAGACTCTAACATACAAATACCTTGGCCCGAAGAACATTTGTTGCCACATCTATCACTGCAAGGCCTGTGGCTCCAGCTGCTGCTGTCACTAAAACAACTTCTCTATGCCAAAGAAAGACAAATGTTACTTCAGAAACCTTCAAAAGTCAACCAGTAATATGATTTCACAAACATTTTAGAAACAACATTTTAAAGCAAGAATGTTAGAGATCATTTCATTCAAACCTTCACATGCATCTGTTCTCCACCCTGTAGGTTTATGAATGTGAGTGACTTCTAGATTCATGCTAATTTGGTTCAGATTTGAAGACTTCCCAGGCAAAAGATCCCTAAATCTCTCTAGGTAGCCTATCCCTCATATCAGTGGCAACCCTTTCTTTGAGCTACCATTCCAATTTATTCTCCAGAAATTCTATTTTAAAATCCTTCTCATATTAGATACTGCCCAATGTTAGAAGGTGATGACCATGTAATGGCCACTGCTCAACCAAACCCACCTCTCTGAAGCAATTCTGAGTGTCAGCTCTCTGAAAACATCAAGAAGCAATATGTATGCTCCAAGTAAAGAGTCAAATGTCAGCACCTTTTCTTCTGAAATATCCTACCTAATGCACTCAACAGGGCCTCACAGAAACAAATACCATGGGCCTCTATTAAACTCAGAGTAAAATGAGTTTGAATAAACCAACTCTCTGCACTTTAATGCTTTTTTATGAGATGATCTCCAGAGCGGTCACGTTTAAGAGAGGTATTTCTCCAAATTCACACTGGCCAAGTTCACGGTCTATCATTTCCTCTTAGACAGAGGGATGTCCTCCCAGTCACAAAACCCCAATCTCAAGTGGCTACCTCCCTTTGGCCTTTCCTCCGCCAAAAGGAAGGGAAGGGAAGGGATGAGGTGGGGCACGGCCCTGCTAGACACTTCTGATATCAAGAGAAGGGTATTTTCTAGCCTGGTGTCATCTACACAGTCCTTACCCAGGCTGTGTATGGGCCCGATGCTCAAGAGCAAAAATCGCAGTACCATAGGATATAGGGAGGACAGCAGCTTCTTGTAGGGAGACCTTTTCTGGGATCTGCCACAGGTCCTATAAAAGAGATAACAGTGACTTGTGGATTAAGCATATGTACCTAGTCATAAAGGCTGCTCAGTAAATATTAGGATTTGATTCAGTGACTGATTTGCAAAGGGGAACACTTGCCCATAACCAAGCCCAGTGGAAGTCTAGACTAAGCAAGCTGTGGCAGAGTTCAGGATTGGAAGGCATCAGACTTCAAAACCCCAAGGCTGGCATCTGGCTCAGGAAGGAGCCAACAGGTAGAAAATGGAACACAGATCACTCTACTATGATGGATTAATGGTATGATGTGTCAGTTTTCCCTTAATAAAGATAGTGAAGGGCAGTGGGGCGGGGGGGGGGGGGGGCGGAGAGAACAACTATGTACTGTTCATCGCCAGGGGGCACCATTTACACCCTGCACACCCATACTAGACTATCCTGGCTGGCTCCATTCCCAGGGTGTCTTTTTCATAAGCTTTGTGTGGGGAGAAGCCCATTACATTCAGCTCAATGCCCAAAACCAGTTTTTCTACTAAAACTACCTAGTCCAAATGAACAGCCAGCTCAGGGACTCAGAAAGCAAAATGCTGCTCTTCATTAAATCACTCGGCCAGGCGCAGTGGCTCACGCCTATAATTCCAGCACTTTAGGAGGCTGAGGCGGGTGGATCATGAGGTCAAGAGATCGAGACCATCCTGGTCAACAAGGTGAAACACCGTCTCTTTTATATTTTCTACTAAAAATACAAAAATTAGCTGGGCAATGTGGCGCGTGCCTGTAGTCCCAGCTACTCGGGAGGCTGAGGCAGAAGAATTGCTTGAACTCAGGAGGCAGAGGTTGCGGTGAGCCAAGATTGTGCCATTGCACTCCAGCCTGGGTAACAAGAGCGAAACTCCGTCTCAAAACAAAAACAAAAAACAAACAAAGAAAAAACAACATTCAACACAAACAAAGCTCTGTGCAAAGTGTTGTCATGTTAGTGAAGAGGAGTTTAACATTTGAAAAAATGAAGTGCTTAGCTGAGAAACAAGACGTGACCAAATAAATATAAAGAAAAAGAAGGAGAGGGGAAGACGGGAATGAGGGATAGGTGGAAATTAAAGAAAACAAAGGAGAAAAAAATTTCCAAGCATTAATCTTGAGCAGTACGGATACCTTCTGATCAGTGATGCATTCTTCAGCCATACAATTAAAGTTTCTCATGCCCATAACTCTATCTCCCTAAAGGAAAAATACCATTAAGGATATGTGCAAATATACGACCTTGCATTCCCTTTTCCTGAATTAATCAAAAAAGAAAAAAAATGCACATCTCTGACTCCATAAGACACAGGTTGGTCTTAATTATCTATTCAGAGTTAATGTTTAGTAAATAAAATAATGATTGTCTCAATACAACCACCAGGTTGCCAAGCCAATTTGAGTGAGAACATTTGAGATGATGAGATAGAGTAAGGGAAAGGTTGATTTGAATTAGAAGCCCAGTCTTCATTTCACAAGAAGCCCAGTCTTCATTTCACAAGAGGCTCAAATTCTCTGTCCTCTTGGTTAACGACCAAGGTGTTGCCTTTTATCCATAATAAAAAGTTTAAGGCAGCCAGCAACTTCCAGTGACTTATTTTACCCAATTCAGAATTTGTTTCTTGCCTTTCTATTTAGGTTTCCCTTTGGTGTCTGCAGGCAAAAACCAGTAGAAGCAAGACCCTTTGGCTACATATGAAGTTAGCACATTTTTCATAGCTACATATATATTGATTCCTTAGACTTCAACTAATTTACCTCTTTAACTGTGCTGACATGTGTGCCTGTCTCCAATACTGTCCCAGAAAACTCCAATCCTAAAAACATATTGTTTAAAGATTAGGTTATCTGTAAAGTACAACACCATGGAGATGAGAAAACACTGACTGACAGGCCAATCCATCGGCTTTTGGAGCTGAGACAGTTTAGGTGCCCCTCCTCCTCTCCATATGTGGGTAGAGAGGTAAGTTATACAAACATAAGATTTCATGATCACAACCTGGGAAGCTATAGCCATCCCAGTCTTACCATGACACAAATGAAAATTTCAAGAATGTGCAAAAGCACAGAGAATCACAGGTACACAGGTACTTCTGACCCTAATCGCTGGAACCTTACCTCCTATAGCACCCAATGATGACGATCATCGTATTTATCTGTTTTCAAGTCTCTTCTGCTGACTACAGAGCCCTCAAGGACGTGAATTGTGTTTATTCAGACAGTATTTGGCTCAACTGGATGAACTGGTGCTTTCTGCCCTTTCCTCTTTCGCTTCTGAAATTTCTGAATTAATGATCATGGTTCCTACTTGAGCTGCCGGGGGAATAACTCAACTGAGTATGACATCTTCCCCTGCAACCAGCATTTCAGCAAATACAAACAGAAGGAGATGGTTCCAACTGTTGAGACACAACCAAACACCCTGAGACCAAAACACAGTAACTATTTTACAATCACTGTATCTTTAATAATATATATCTGTATAAAATATACATGTGCTATATATTTGCTAAGCTATACTTATAGCCCTTTAAATAAATTTCAACAATAAAAATCAGTCATTTGTCCACATGTCCCATCTAGAAGTAGATTAGGAACAAAAATCAGACAGTGGGCTGCCAAGAAACCCACAATCTTTTCTTCTCTCTGATCCTTTGGTATTAGGCTTTATTGGGAATGTGTCTGTGAGGCTGCAAGTTCTAGCTTCAAACCAATGTCTGTAATCCCTCAGTGAAGAAACAAAATTGGGGCAATATCAAGCAAGGAAGCGGAATGACTAGAACCAATGATAATTTTAGTGAACAGAATTTTGGTGAAAATTCATTTGTTCATTTATTCGTATTTAGAGTATTTATTGAGCACCTACTAAAAGCCATGTACAATGCTAAGCTGGGGGATATAATGTTGAGCAAGTCAGGTATAGAATCTGCCCTCATGAGGCTCACAATCTAGTGACCCTAATTCACAGTGAGACGGACACATCCAACTGAACCATCACTGATGGCAGGCAAACACCAACAGAGCACTGCCTGAGACCACGGGTATGGTTCTGAAAACCCTGTATCTTTTTTTTCTCAAGCAGTCTCTTAGTCTCCCCAAACTTACCCGGTGTGAAGGGAAGATGGGGCTTTTCCTGATATTGACCACGGCAGACCAAAATATCAGCAAAGTTAATGCCACAGAAATGGACATCAACTCTGACCTGCAAAGGAAATAGAGCAGCAAAGCAGAACACTACACATCCATGGAGACAATGTTCATTCAATTATACCAAAATAGTTACTGAATGACAATGATATGCCAGGTACTGAAGTAAGAGCTGGGATACACTCATGAGGCAAAATGGGCAAGGTTCGTGCCTTCATGAAGCTAAAGTATAGCAGAGTAAACAGACATTAACCAGATAATAATGAAGACACGTGTATTAAAACTCCAGTACAATACACGGGGCACACGTGTTCTCAAGCCACTCCACCTAGATTTAAGGATGATTCGAGGATAAATGTCGTTCAGCATGTGAATCCAGGAAGCAGATAGGCTGCCATCATGTGCTCATCCAAATAATCCATGTTAGCCATGTTAGCTCACAGGCTCCATGCCGTGACACTTCAGGGCTATGGCCACCTTTCTCCCTCTCCCTGGGGGTCTCCAGCACTGAGGCCCACTGCCTGCTTGACGCGGTCTGAGGTTCTCATCTCCACACCAGATGGCACTGTGTTACCAGAGAGGTCAACAGGCAGGGCCAAAGTGACGTCCAGATTTCAGTGGAGCAGCTGCCCACATCCCTAAACGAATTCAATTCCAAAGCTCTGCAGTACACCAGAGGCATATGTTCACATGGAAACACGAGGGCTACCGGGCTGGTTTGGGGAAGACAGAGACCAAATAATTGGATTCCGGCACTTATGTGGTGAAGCAAAGGATGAGGTCCATGCACCTGTGTTAAACCAGTAACTTGCACATACAAAGTCATGTGCAAATCAGAATTCTCTGTTTCTAAGGCAACAGCTCTGAGCATTCAGAAAGAGGCCTATAGGCATGTTTTGGGTAAACAATCTTCCTTTGGCACTTTGGACCTTGGAAAAGGATTCAACCTCCTAGCTCAGGACGAAGTTGCCCTCCAGTCTCTCGGTCGCCCTCTCGCTTGGGAACTGGGAACTTGATTCAAGAAGGAAGCCTGAGGGGAGTGTGTGGTAGCGGGGAGAAGGCGAGGGTAGAAGGGGATAAGCCAGCCCCCTACCTCGTGAGGCCCGACGGGGCGGGGGGCCACTTCTTCAATGGTCAGGGGCTTCTTCAACTCTGCGCAAATCGCGGCGCGGTAGTGCCGGCCGCAGCCCTGCCTGGCTCTCCTGCAACACAGAACGAGGGCCGGGTCACTGGGGCAGCACCGCCAGGGCACCCCGGGACTGCTTGCGGGGCTCAGGGAGGAGTCGGAGTTGCACCTGCAGAGCCACCCCCGAGGGAGGCACTGCCTGCAAAGAATTGCCGCCATGCCGAGGACCGGGCCGAACGAGGGACGAGGGGGCGCGGCCAGAGAGCGGCCGGAAGGGCCGGACAGCGCCACCCCGCCCCGGGAGACCGGAAGGGCGTCCTCCGAGGCCTCCGGGCTAAGCTCCCCGGCTGCCAAGACCCAACGCTGGTGGGGCAGTTCCGGCCCAGGGCGCCCGGCTTCTCCCGCTGCCGAGCCCGAACGAGCGCGCGAACCCCCTGTTGGGCATCTCTGGAGGTGGAGCCGGCTGGAAGAAAAAAGAAAAAGGAAAACACCAGGAACGAGATTAACGTTTGTTGGCATTTTTTGTTACAAATTTGGGAGACTTGGGTTTTTCTTTATAATTTCAATTTTTATTTGAAAGGGGCTACGGCTGCAGATGTTACCTGAGTATATTGCTAGATGCTGAGGTTCGGGGTACGAATCATCCCGTCACTTCAGTGCTGAGCCTAGTACCCAATAGTTTTTTCAACCCTTGCCTCCCTCAAAATTGGGAGACTTTTTAAACTACACTTGGCGACATTTAAATAGTAGTTTGGGGCTGGGTGGCTCAGGCCTGTAATCTCAGCACTTTGGGAGGCCATGGCAGGCAGTGACCCGCGTCTGTGGTCTCAGCAACTCGGGAGGCTGAGGCGGGAGGGTCACTCAATCGTAGGAATTGGAGGCTGCAGTGAGCTATGATCGCACCACCCTGGGCGACAGAGACCTTCTCTATAGATTAGAAAGATAAGATAAAGGTTCTTGGGTCCTTTGCAGTGCAAAATCCTAAATGCACAGGTAAAGGCTTGATTTTATTTATTTACTTATTTATTTGTTTTATGTTTGAGACAGGGTCCCACTGTGTCACTCAGGCTGGAGTGCAGTGGCACTATCTCGGCTCAGTGCAACTTCCAGCCACTTAAGGTCAAACCATCCTCCCACTTCAGCTTCCCGTATAGCTGGTACTATAGTCGCACACTACCACATCTGGCTAACTTTTGTATTTTTTGTAGAGATGGGGTTTCACCATGTTGCCCAGGCTGGTCTCAAACTCCTGGCCTCCAGCCATCTGCCTGCCTTAGCCTCCCGAAGTGCTAGAATTACAGGTGTGAGCTACCACGCCCGGCCAGTTAAAGGCTTTAAAATCAGCATTTGAACTCCTTGTGAGAGTTCAATTCTTGTTACTAATTTTCTCACATTTTCAGGATCATTTACACTAAATCTAGTTATTAATGATCCAATGTTGAATGAGCCTATACAAATCCAAAGAATACTTCCAATTAAAATCAAGCTAAAGCCCACCACAGGGAGAGTGGAAGGCCATTGGTTCTCATGTCCCCAGTGCTCGTATTAGGTTTGGCACATAGTAGATGTTCAATAAATGTTTTGATTCACAGACCAACACAGACCATTTGCACTAGGTGAATAAGCACACTCTGGAAGAATTGAAAATATACAATATAATCTGTGAAATACTATATAACTGGGTAGATCTCTATTGCAACAGTAACCAAATATTTATAGGCTAGCTCTATAAGAGAAGCTCACATTATCCTGGAGAGAATATTTCATTTGACAGGTAACTTTTAAAGACAGCTTGATGCCTTTAAAAGACATCTGGCAGAAAAATAATCCCAGATTCAAGCCTATCTCTACCACTTATTTGCGTGGGTTTGACGTTGACACTTGTTGGTTCTCTGCCTCAGTGAACTCCTCTGTAAAGTGAACACATTGGGCAGAATAATCCCTAAGTTGCTAAATTATTTCTATTTTTTGACAGAAACAGAATTCCCAGATAAAGCATGACTTGGAAGGCATGATCAGGAATGGAATAAAGGGAAAATGAAAGGCAAAAATGAAGTAAGAATGAACTTCTGAAATTACGGCTTAATGGCTCTAGAGGAAAGAAATCTAAGAGCAAGGTCCTCACCTTGGATATACAGTAGAGCTTACTGTTATTTTAATAGCACTCACAAGGAATTTGAGAAGTCATTTGAGTCCTCTCTCCCTTCCCACAAGAAGAAGACTAGAACAATGATTAGAAGCTGAGAAGATGAAAAAACTTGTGTTTCCAATAAGACATGAAAGCACTTTGTGAACTGTTAATCATTAGGCATATAAAAATCAAACCAGGAATAATAAAATCACGCAAGGAATAATGCAGAAATACTAACATTATCATCAAAGTGAACACTCTGGTTGCCAAATAACAGTGGGTGGCTGGGCACAGTGGCTCACACCTGTAATGTCAGCACTTTGAAAGGCTGAGGTGAGTGGATCGCTTGAGGCTAGGAGTTTGAGAACAGTCTGGGCAACATAATGAGACCCCTCCCCCCTACCAAAAATTAAAAAACTTAGCCAAATGTGGTAGCACACGTCTGTAGTCCCAGCTGCCTGGGAGGCTGGAGCATGAGAATCACCTGGAGGTTGCAGTGAGCCAGGACTGTGCCACTGCATGCCAGTCTGGGTGACAGAGTGAGACCCTGTCTGAAAAAAAAAAATAAACCAGCAGCAAGAAAGTGCACATTTATTAAGTATGAAACCAGGATTTATTGTTCTGAGGATGAAATGAGTTATTACATATGGAAAGTGTTTTGTAAAATATTAAGTATTTATACAAGATATAAAGCAAGCAGCTCTTAATTAAGCTCCATGAAAGCAGCAATCATTTAATCTTCTTTATGTTTTCAGTACTTTGCACAATGCCTGACACAGGCATTTAATACATGTTTATTTAATGAATTGTTCAATAAACACTGAGTTATCCATTATCAATTTTCCACATACAAAAAGTATCTTTAAGAATCAAACTTATTTTTAATTGTTTTTATGGAAAATTTCTCAATTATGATTTTCATAATATCCTTGTCTTTCTCAATAATATGAAAATATTTGGGACAAGAATATTTAGAGAAATCAACTAGTTTGGAGAAATCAGTCAAGACTGCATTCTGCATTTATAACAATATCTGAAAAAAATAGTAAAAGCCCCATTAAGAAGAATCTTGGAGGGAGATGAAAGTATTTTCTGTAATTGAGGTGATTTTAAGCACATATGCAAAATAACTTTCACATTTCCAAAGAGAATCAAAGGTATGTGACAAGACATTTAATAGTAGTTGCTATAGTAGCAAAAGAAATATTTGGTCTATCCATCAAAGTGCTGCCACCACACCCTGCTATCTAGTTTTGGCGATTGTTTCTGATTATTTTATTTTATTTGAAGGGAAGATGGAAAGGGGACAAGAAGAATAAAATCTGAGTCCTGGGAGAGAATCAGACCAAGCAGCTAAATCTGAACCATCTATCCTCTGGAAGAAAAGAAAGGACAGATAGCTGCCCTGCAAACCAGCTTGAGGGCTCATTAAGGAAGTAAAAGAGTAACAGATGACTCTTCCTTCTGGTACAGCTCACATGAAGAGATAATATTTAACATCCAGAAGCTGCTGGAGGGCTGAGGGTGGGGAAGCAAGCCAATGCTGAATACACAAACAGCTATGTTTTCACAGAATAACAGACAAACAATATATAAACAATGTAAGCACTATGCAGGACTATGCGGAAGATGCAAAATTATCCTCCACAGTTAAAATGCTTTAACCAGTAGATTGTCAGTCCCTTGAGAATACAGACTGTCTCAGTAGCCTCAGAGCGTACCACCACTCCTGGAACATTGCAGGTTCTCAGCAAATGGTAGGAAGGTGTGAGTAGCTGCCAGCCACAACATAACTATCCAAAGCCACGAATCCAGACAATTTTAAGGGTTATTGCGCCCACTTCCTTAGCTAAGTATACAGATGCTGAACATAATCTCATCTTCTTTATGAGTAGTTCAGTATTGCCATTTTATATATGAATTCTCTTCTGCCACAATGATGTCCCCCCCAAATTCCTGAGGAGGGTAGGAGTAGTTCACTTTTTCACTGCATTCCCCTGAGAAGGCTCTTTCTGATTGTTGCAGTTGGGGTTAACTTTTATCAACTTCAGAAATGTACTTTAATGCCATTAATATATAATGCATATTGACCTACTCTATTCCAAGAAATGTATAAGATTTCTACGTAAGTTATTTGCTCCAAAAATCATGGAATCATAGAATTTTGGAGCTAGAATGGGTCTTCGAGATATTCTAATCGAACCACTTCATTTACAAGTAAAAAATCTGAGGTTAGGGGAGAGGCTGCTCTTAATACTATGCTCTTTGGATCTCACTCCTCAACAATATTCTTAATAGTGATAATATTTAACATTTTCATAGTTCTTCATAGGCTTCAAGTCTCTGTCACCCAAATTTTTTCATCCTACTAACCATGAGAGTAATAATAATCACAAATAGCACTGGCTAGGTGTGGTGACTCACACCCATAATTCCAGCACTTTGGGAGACCTTGGCAGAAGGACCACTTGAGGCCAGGAGTTTGAGGACTGGGCAACATAGTGAGACCCCCAACTCTATTTTTAAAAAAACAGAAAAATTAGACATGGTGGCACGTGCCTGAAGTCCTTGCTACTAGAAAGGCTGAAGAGGGAGAATCACTTGAGCCTAGGAGTTCAAGCTTGCAGTGAGCCATGATTGTGCCCCTGCACTCCAACCTGGGAGTTTATTAGAGGGAGACCCTGCCTCTAATAAAAATAAACAAATAAGTAAACACGTAAATAAGCAGTAGCACTTACTGGTTATTTCTGACAAACCAGTCATTAAGTGCTTCTGCATGATTTCATTAATCGACCCCCAATAGTTCTATGACTAGGATACTATTATTTTTGCTTGTTTATAGATCAGGAATATAGGCTTAAGGAGGTCAAGTAACTTGCCCAAGGCCACAGAGCTCGGGAATGGAGCAGTTGAGAATCATCCTAATTGCCTGGTACCAGAGCCTCTACAACAGTATCTGGCTGCCTACTGTGCTTTCCCTGACAAACACCCCCGAAAGCACACAAAGAAGGTATCATACAATATATTTTAAAGCAATGCTTTGCTTGCAGTTTGAAGCCTCATTTTATAGGAATTTTACACTCATTCAAGCCTAGAAAATAGATTAATTCCCTGGAGGAGAGAATAGAGAAAGCAGCCTCCAGGGATGCCTGTAGTTAAGGGACAAGAGCAGAAAGAGAACCTAACACATAATTAGGGTTACTACACTATTCCGTACAGCCATAAGCTTGAAAATACACATATTTCATTTCAGTGTAAAGTGTATTGCACAAGATTAAAACTGTGATTATGTAAAGTTGTTTTCATATCCACTCACTCACAAATATGATTTGAATAAAACAATGTGCTGACAGGGTTGCCTGGTTACCAGTCATCACTTAAGCAGGTACCAGCAGGCATTTGGGCTACATTCCTGGCACCCAGATGGGCCAATTTGGAAGCAGCAGTGACCTGGGCAATGGCTGCTGTGCCTCTTAAAACCAACCACGAGGATTAGATGCCTGGAACTCTCTTCCACCTTGAACCATCATTGTTAATTCAGTCGACAACTTTTCAAGCATTCTGGCAACCTTATGAAGCTCTTCCAGCTCCCACGTCCCCCGAAAAGAAACAAATTATTCCCTTCCATATGTCCCTCCAAAGAACTTTGTACCAACCTGTAGTAGCTTGCTAATCTCAGTGTTCGGATGGTATTTATCTACCCCCCTGACAGCTAAGCTTCGAGCATTGTAGAAAATTCCGAGGACAGCGTACTGAAGTGAAAAGAATTTGGGCTTTGGAATAAGATATACCTGTGTTTAACTCCTGGGTTAACTATTTACTCACTGTGGCCATGCAAAAGTTACTTAAATGAACCTCCATTTCCTCACCTTTAAAAGAGGCATAATAATACCCACCTCAGGTGATGATTGTGAGAATTAAACAAAGTAAGCACGTTCGTGGCAGCACTCAATCAATAGCAGCTTTTGTTATGAAAACACCGTCCCTGCCCTTGAGCCTCTCACTGTCTAGTGGAGCGAGGTTCCCGTAAATGACATCTCAAATGCCTGTGATACATTCTGTGATGAAGAGCTGCAAGAGGGATATGGGAGCAGAGAGGAAGGTCAGCTTACCCCAGCCAGAGAGCATCATTTCAGGAAAGCCTCATAGAATAAGAATGAAGAGGGCTCAGCTAAATTTGTCCCAGGCAAAGGAGTACACACGACAGAACATGGCATGGTCAAGGAATTGCAAGTGGTCATTTACAATTGAAGTTATGGTTCAAGCTGGAGAATGACGAGGGATAAGGCTGGTGTAGAAAGAGCATAGGTTTTGGAATTCCAGCAGTCAGGAGTTCCAGCTTCACTCTCCAACCACATAAATAATAACAAGTATTATTTAACTGTGTTTAAATATGTATATTTACATATTTACACTCATATTTCTTATTGAATCAGTTGGAGGAATGGGTGAATCATTCCCTTACTGCATATTTTTTAGACACTCTCCATCTGCCAGTCACTGTTCTAGGCACTGGGGACACAGCAGCTAACAAAACAGACAAAAGTCTCTGCCGTGGTGGGACTTACAGTTCGTGAATCGAGATGGGAAAGAGGGTGCAGGTGTCCATGAGGGCACAGTGTGCTTCATGGCCCCTGTGTCTTTATGGTTCTCTGATGAAAAGCTAATAAACTGACAAGGCAAAGTTCCCAAGAGGTCTGGATGTTAGTCCTACTTTGTAATAACAATGAGGAGGCTCTCATCCTCTCCCTTAATCGCTTCTCACTTATCAACCCCCAGCTTCCTGTTGTGATCCAGGGGAACCGGTGAGTTGTGTTGTTTGTCAGGAAGAAATGTCAAGGAGAGCTCAAGTAATTATTGGGCTCTAATGTCTAAAGCGATGGCAAGAGGAAATAGGAAAGCAGAGCACACAAAACGGCTGTGGAGAGGGAGATTTGCCTATCTCAGCAGCTGGGTGATAAGTGAGCTCAGATGCCTTGTGATGATGCATGGAGGTTTCATTTCAACAGCAGGATAATCATACTTCACATGTGTGCATCTCTTTAGAGAAAGGGTTCACCAAGGGGATCTCGTTTAATCCTCAGAAAGGCTCTGTGAGGTAGGAATTAACCCCATTTAATCCCATCTCTCTCCTGTAGGTTAACTCCTCCCTCTCCACTGTGGCATATCACGATGTCCGCGTTTCAGTCATAAACAAAAATAACTAAAGGCTTCCTTCATTCCTTATCCCTGTCTAGCCATCATGTCTTCCTCATAGCCAAGTCCACCAAATATTAAGAACATGCTTGTTAACTCCATTGCTCCCTTTCCATTTGCTCTTCCTACTGTGATCAGCCCCCAAAGGCCCCGAAATTGTTGTGACTTCCCATATGCCCAGTCCAAGGGATGCCCGTCGGTCCCTATCATAGTTGGCTTCTTTAGCATTTGAAGCCATTCTCTGCTCTTTCTCCTCCTGCTCCCCAGCCTGCTCCTTGTCGGTCTTGTCCTCAGGTTCTTCTCCTCCACCAGACCTTAATGCTGTCAACTGGGGTTCTTTCTACCACCCTTTTGTGTGTTATGTGTCTGTGTGTTGTATATTTCTGTCTCTCCTGCTCTCCAAGTCAACAGGATTTCTTTAAAATCCTGTTCAGCCTTGTGATTTGCGAAACCCTTTCTAGCAGCAGTATGACTACCTCTCACCTTCTCCCTCTGCTGCCCCACCTTGAAAACATGCGCGTTCCCCTGCCTCTTGCTTTCACAGTGGCTCTTTTCTAGCTTCAGTAATGCTCACATCAATTGTGCTGTGACTGTTTGTACGTATGTCTTCCCCAGGAGATTGTGAAAAACTTCAGGGTCAAGACTATGACTTTGCTATTTTTGTTTCTCAGTGCCTGGCTAGGTACCTGGCCCATGGTAGACACCGAGATTTAGAAATGTTTGATGAATTCTTAAGAGTCAAACCAAGAGCAATTGATAAACAGTCAGGGCCTGAACCCCATTCTTCTGACTTTAAAGGTGGTAGTCTCTCTACCTCAGCAGAGAAAAAAAGCAATGTTGCATGTATTTAATTATAAGTGCCTTGAGCCCAGTGAATTCTATAAAGTAAGGGGCAAGATGGAGGGGAGGATTTCCTTTTTCCCACAAACATTGCCCCAGCTACCAGGTGTGGAAGGATTGTTTGTAGCCTTCCTTTCACATACCCCAGGATAAAAGAAGAAAAGAAAAAAAGAAAAAACACCCACCTCCCCTCTCTTCCTTCCAGTGGACGGTCGTCACCATCACTTCCTGTTAAGCCAGGAGGCAGGAAGCATATCCTAGCTCCTGAAACTTCCAATTTCCCTCAGGTTTCATCACAGACCAAGGGGTGGAGAGTGGTTTAATAAGATGCCTTGTAGCTGGACCTGTCTCTACCATCCTGAAGCAATACTCCTGAAGAAACCTTCATAAAGTGGTCAAAGATACACCTGGAAGGGAGGAAACTTTGCCTTTACCAGGAATAAACAAGCCTTCTAGGGAGAGGCTCTGAAATCAGACTATGTGTGCATTTGGCAATTACAAGTTGAAGTTCCACCCAAATACACACAATCAAAGGCTTTAACCAAGGCCATCATTACGTGTGCAGAGCCCTCCTGCTGTTTGGGCAACATTTTAGTGCTGCAGTGAAGCAAGAGAAATGTCATCAAAGCCACGAGGTACTGAGAGACTCGTTCGGCAGTGCCTTTTTTTGACCTGATGATTCACTTCACCTTGTCGTTTATAATGCTGCAGCCTGGGAGGGAAAGAAGGAAATGAAGAGGAAAAGAGTAGGCTGTGTTGTGCATGTAATTTGTTTCGCTATTTCAGACGGCTTTTTAATGAGCTTTCTCATTAAGGGCTCCGTGAGTCTATGCTTAAAGTTTTCCGGACAAGCAAATAAGCAAGACTGAAATCAGATGGCATCAGCCCAGGACCTCATAGTTTGTTTCAAAGCTACAGTCACGGGGAATGGGGGTGCTTAAAAAACATTCTTTGTGAGAACAGAGATTTGATAACTCTTTTGTCTTAAAACATTTGAAAATGAATGATGTGGTTTTAATTAACCCCCATGAAAATTCCAACATTCATCAAGTATTAGAATAGTAGAGTGTATCTGTGATAGCATTTCTCTATTCAGCTGGTTCCCATGGAGAGAGGTAATTGTCCTGTGCTATCCTAGCCCTGAGTTCATATTTCTGGTAGAGTACCCATAACATTGCATTAGAGATGATGTCCCCTCTAGGTGCTGACCCTTGTATGATAGGCAGTCAGCCTTACCCAGTCCTCCTTTATATTTCCAGAGCCCAATACAGTGTCCAGACATACAGTAGACACTCAATAAAGGTAGTTTTGCCATTTAAATGAATTCATTAGGTACAATTAATACATGAACAAGTACATAAAAGACTTAGACTTGAGTAGTAGACTTCACATCAGGGTAATTAATCATCTCGCAAGGTTCAACATTTTAATTTGCGAACAGTCCCTTATTAAAGCGGCATCCTTCAGTTAAAATTATCAAGAGGGAGGCCAGATGCGATGGCTCACCCCTGTAATCCCAGTACTTTGGGAGGCCGAGGCGGGCAGATCACCTGAGGTCAGAAGTTAGAGACCAGCCTGACCAACATGGTGAAATCCCATCCCTACTAAAAATACAAAAATTAGCTGGATGTGGTGGTGCATGCCTATAACCCCAGCTATTCGGGAGGCTGAGGCACAAGAATCGCGTGAACCTGGGAGGTGGATGCTTCAGTGAGCTGAGACTGTGCCACTGCACTCCAGCCTCAGTAACAGAGCAAGACTCCATCTAAAATAAATAATAAATAAATAATAAAATAAAATAATCAAGAAACGTACTGGTGGGGATTTGAAGTGTTTTTTTTTTTTTTTTTTTTGTCATTGATGAACACTGTCTGTTGGGTTTCTGATCATGAATTGGCCCTTTTTATGATTGAGAAAGTGATGCAGTCATTGCTTTGTTTATCTTTCCAGTGAGTTTTTAACAAAGAATAAATGCAGACACATGAAAGTGAATTCTCTCTGTTGCCTGTGGTTGAACCAGTTGTCCGGCAATCCTTCCCTCTGTTTGTATGGTACAAAGAATGCCTCACTCTATGATTCCAGGGACTTCTAGAGATGATCTACTTTAAAAGTCTGACATACTGGTGGCCACAGACTGTGTGCTTGACAGAAACCAGGCACCTCTCCACCTTTGTTGTCAGGAAGGGTACAAAATAAGGAAAGCAGCGCCCTTCATTGGTGCTTTATTGGATTGGAGATAGATATCAAAAGAGGGTGACATAAAGAATCCTCCCTAAAACATTTGCTCAGTGGTCCATTCATTTTTTACTGTTGAATATTCTTGTGTATACTGGACTCATATCAGAGATACAGACATTTCTGTTTCTTCTCCTCTCTCTTTCTCTCTCTCTCTCTCTCCCCCCTGCTCATTGTCTTTCTCACCCAAATCCATTCTCGAGTAGTAAGCAAGAGGTCAGTGATCCATTCCTAGGAGCAGAAGAATGGGTGTGGGTGTTCTCAGATTACATATCTGGAGAGGTTTTTTTTTTTTTTGATAAGCATCACCTAGTCAGCATTTCACAAAGTGTGATCTGAGAACTGTGTACATCAGATCCCTGAAGATGCTGATTGAAGGGCTTGATCTCCCCACTGGCTTGGCATTCTGGGGAGGAGCACTGACTTCTATAGTTTTATCAGGCTCCCAGGATGATCCTGCTTCCTGCTGAAGTTCAAGAGCCTCTGGCCCTGACTTCTGACCTGGTGGTGCCTTGGCTCACTAGAGGGCACCATGGAACAATGTTTTTTTCTGGCTGCAGGCTTCCTGTTCCTGCCAACCCACCAGGGCCGCAGCACCCACATAGTTCTGGGTTACAGCTTCCAAGCCCATCCTGGAACCGCAGTTTCCTTTAAGAAACTTAGTCCAGTTGCCACATCACCAAACAAGTATAGTATTTATTTCCACAATGGGACTACAATAAATCCAATTTCTAAAGAAAAATTAGGTTTTAAGTTATCTCATGTTTATTAAACACAAATCGTGTACTACAAAAGCATTAGGTATCAACAGGATTAATAAAAGAAAACATCCTACTATCAAGAAAAATGTGGAAAAGATAAGACAAAATTGTAAAATCATTTGAAAGCAATTATAGTTAATAGTAATTTTGAAATAAATAGTAAAAAAAATAAAAATAAATTAGAAAATCTAACACAGATATGTGCCAGTAAATGCACAAACAGGGAGTGACCCCTCAGACAACTGGGATAACTGCAAACCAGGATCCCTGAGAAGGCATCTTGGAAAAGGTGGGAGGAGAGAGGGCCTTGGAATAAAGTGAAAAGGAGAAGAGAAGGTCAGGGCAGCCTAATTACAACACATGTCTAATTCAGGGCCCTTCCTGTGTCTCAGCAGTGACTTAACTAAAATGAACATGTCAAATGCAAATCTAGGAAGTACCACTGGGCTTTCAGTTGTCATACTGGCACAGTATCCATTTATTCAATAAATTCTTGCAGAGCACTACCATGTGCCAGGCACTGGGAATACAAGGCCGGACAAAGCAAACACTTAGTGCTGCCCTCATGTGTTTACAGTTCAGTGGGAGAGACAGGCTGGCAAGACAATATTCCGGAGCAGTGTGTTACCTGGTAGGTAAAGCAGGAGGTTTGTGGGAGGTCACAGGAGGGAAGCCTGGTCCAGAGCCAGGGTGGTAAAGGAAGGCTTCCCTGGGGTAGAAATGTCCAGTGGAAAGAAGGATGAATAAGCAGCAGAGGGAAAAAGAGCATGTTTGAAGGCTGGGGAAGAGAGGAAACAGTAATTTGAGGAACTGAAAGAAAGGCAGTAGGGCTGGCCCCCTGATAGTGGGGGTGTGCTGAACAGCCTGGAGAGCACGCGGTAGATAGGAGCCGGCTCCCCCTGATAGTGGGGGTGTGCTGAACAGCCTGGAGAGCACGCGGTAGATAGGAGCCAGCTCATAAGGAGCCTTGTAAATCATAACTGGGCTACCTAGACATCAACTTCTGGGCACTGGAGATCCACTGAAGAGTTGAGACCAGGGGAATGGTGGTTCCCTAATGAGATCTGCATTTTAGGAGGACCTGTCTATGCCAGGGTCAGCGCTACCTTGGAGTAATAATAAACCAGCAAAGCCATAGCAATCAGTCTCCATTTAATTGGACCTTTCCGGTTTCCTTCCTCCATCCCCATTCACCAGCTTCCCTTGAAACCTTTTCAAACTGAGGTCTGTTTTTAAAGTCTGCTTCCCATGCTAGATAGCAGAGGAAGCAGGTACTTTAAAAATGTGACTGTCACAAGCTGGACTGCCCTTCTTTGAATCCCTTACGGTCCTTGAAAAAGGCCATCTCTAGCAAAGTGCAGAAGGAGGCAGAGCCACACTGGATTGAGAGGAAGAGTGGTCCAAACCCCATTCCCTGGGTTGGACACCCTTCGCACTTAACCACTGTTTAAAGGCGGTGCCTGTCGAATGTTCCCAACACAAAGAGGTGAAACATATTTAAATTGATGGAGATGCTAATTATCCTGATCTGATGACTATACATGATATGTATTGCAACATTCCTATGTGTCCTATAAATATACACAATTATTATGTGTCAGTTTAAAAAAATTAACTGAATAAATAAAGGCAATGAAGAGAGGAAACTACAGACACACGTACGGATCAGTGCACAAAATTAATATGTAATATATGAAGAGAGGCTTCATATTCCTAGGAAGCTGCTGTTTTATTACTGCTATGACTGACTTATGGCTTTCGCTTTGCTCACACATCAAAATTAAAACTCTTAATCAGACCTCACATCCTTATCTACATGGTAGCTGAGAAGCAGGTGATGGCAGTAAACTTTAATGACCAGAAGAAGTGTAATATAAATGCAGCCATTTAAACCTCCCTATTTAATTAAAGTCTAGTTCTGTGCTTGCTGCTTGCCTGGAGAATAGTCAGAGGAGCACTTTTTTTTTTTTTTTGAAAGAGAGAGTTTTGCTCTGTCTCCCAGGCTGGAATGCAGTGGCGCTATCTCAGCTCCCTGCAACCTCCATCTTCCGGGTTCAAGCAATTCTCCTGCCTCAGCCTCCCGAGTAGCTGAGACTACAGGAGCCCAGCCACTGCACCTGGCTATTTTTTTTTTTTTTTGTATTAATTTTGAGACAGACTTTGTTTTGTTTTTTTAAACCACTAACTCCACCCTCAGGCCAATCCGAAAGCAGCTTGCATTATATCCTCATTTCCTAAAATGGAAGCCATATGTATAGAGAACAGGCCTTGGAGTGACACAGGTTCCTCAATTCCGGCCTCTGTGACAGGGAGGCCTCCCGCCCAGTTTCCTTTTCTTCAGAGTGAGGAAGAGTCTGTGAACAGGGGCTGGAGCCTCTGGACACAAAAATAGAATATTTGAGCATTTGGATTTTCCTTTCCTGACAGTGAACTTACTCCGGAAGAGGCACTTAAACAAGATTTTTTTTTCCCTCTGTTTTTAAAAAAACACGTTTAACAGGCAGAACAACACTGTTGAGAGAACACTTTTCAGCCCCATCTTCTCTGGCCCCAAACAGGCCAAGGTGAGGCAGTCTTTTTCTTCCTTAATGGCCCTCTTTGCTTGTAATCACATTGCCCCCCACAAGATTCCCCCCAGCATGCTTCTAGATGCCTCTGCAAGCCCCCCCACCAAGTCTTAAAAGCACAATCATCTCTTTGATTGTCGGGCTCATAACTGAGATTTCCCACACAGTGGTATGAAGAGACATATGATTCAAGCATCCTCATTCCAGAAATATTATTAGTGTCAGGAAAAAAAAAATAGGGGCCTGCTCTATGTCTGTCACCTGAAATAAACTCCCTGTTCCTCCCCTACTGCTTCTCAGATACTCAGTTCTAAAGATTATTCCAGTTTATTTTGCCACCCCCAAAGTTTCTAACCCAGCCCCCTAGCTAGTGACTGAAGGAGAGAGGAGGAAAAAGGCCCTCTGAAGTTGGCCACCTCAGGGTATGTGAAGCACATGCTTGTCACGTGGAGAAAAAAATGTACCCGGCTAACCTCTGAGACTCCCTAGAGGATCCAGAGTTTGTGTCTCTTTGCAGAGCTCAGAACAGCCTGTATGTTCTCCTCTCCCTGTTGTGTGCCTGGCGCTTCCCCAGTGAGATATCTCCTGCAAAAGCTTTTCCTGTAAGGGGTGGGGAGCTTTTGTTCTCTGGGAAATATGGTGAAGCTAATTAAGAGCATTGTCCTGTGAGGGGGGAAGGTGGAGGGCTTTCCGAGACCGTGTTTTCTACCAGGAGTAAGTGAGGGCTACTGAGATCTCTCTGTCCTTCTGTGTTAACCATTTTAGGGGGAGATTGTGATGAAGCCCTATAACATAAAAATAGATATGTGAAATATAATCTGTCCCTCCCTCCCTCTCTCTTTCTCTCTCTCTTTTTTGGCATTTGAGTTTCTGTTCCTAACTCACTTCAGAAAAGGATCCTCTGACAATTTGACTTTTAACTGCCACTGACCTGGTAGACACTGGAGGTCACAAGACTAATACTTTATTTAATTTCACCCCAAACATGCAGGTGTGCTGCTAAAGTGAAATATAAAGCAAATATATAGATTTGGTTGTGGGTTGTTCGTGTCGAAGTAGTTCAACAACTCTTAGTTCTTGATTTCCAAAACAGGAGTAGCATATTTTACGGCATTTGGAAGATATAGCACCACAAAAGTCTTAAAATACATAAGCTATGATTGTCTCCTTAGGAGCAAGCATGTTGAGGCAGCGTTTTGTAAGGTGTATCACTTACCTGGTTTCCTCTTTCTGGATTTAAAAATCTTTATACATCAAATGCTACAAATATTTAT